GTGCTCCAAACAGCAGTTGTGAGTTTAGAACTCGATTAATCAAATCAACCACAAAACCAAGTACCCCAAAGTTCTGCTGGTCAAGGTAAGCACCGTTTTGTTTTTGAGTATTCCACATCAACACCAGTGGATAAACTGTCACTATGCCAAAGAAGTTGGTATCCGAGTAGTGCAACGGGCATTCATCATATCAGATGACAGCCTCTTTATATGAAGAGCACTGCTGTGGAAGAAACTGGGTAGCTGTTTTGACACAGGTTTGGCAAGTAGTGCCATTGACATCACTTCTGCAGAGGAACAAGTCATAGGTTTCATTCAAAGAGCCTGTGTAGGAGCTGTTGAGTGAAGATTTGGAGAATAAAGAATCCATCGGAGACTGAAGGTTAGATTGATAGGTTGCTGAGGAATCATTTGTACCTAAACAGAAGTGATCATTGTAGGTAGCTGGCAAATGATGGAGCCGAAATTAAGCACAAAGATTGTGATCAAGAACAGAAGAAATGATTTGGAATTCTGAAGAAGATAGCTTATAATTTCCATGCTTCCATGGAAAAGGGATTAATCATAATGAAGATATGCTTATAAATGGTTATAGATTTGACCAGTCAAAAGTTCCTTGGTCTGAATGATTAATTAAAATGGTAGCTTTGCTGATATCTACTGGTTGTTTCGTTTAAGAGTTGTGAAGTACCTTCCAAGGCTTTGAATTAGAGACAGGTTCAACCTTCTGCTGTGCAGCCATATTTTACATCTATTCGTACTCTAAATCAGCCAACTTGTTATAAACTTCAATTTGTCCAACACCATTGAGGACTGAAGCTTTATCTTCTGACAGAGTTTTCTTTCTTGATTGATAGTGGCCCTTGAATTATACACCAACGAGGATGACATTTCTGATTCAGTAGTGGTATGCATGAAAAATGCTTGCTGTGAAGGTACTGGAAGAGGAAGGGAGTAGCTATTAAGCATGAGAACAACTGATGACATGGTTGGGTGATTCAATGGGGTTGTGCATTAAAAATGCTGGCTGTGAAGGTACCTGAAGCATAAGGGAGTAAGAAAATGACAACGTAGGGAAGGAGAAATCATATGGTATAGGCTTGATTGAATCTTTGGTCTTCATATCTTCAGGCTTCAGCATATAGCCCTCTTGAATAAGTCTTTGCAAGGGAGTAAGAAAGGAGAAGTCAAAATTATTAATTACTAATAAATGAAATATATAGAAGAATTCACCTTTTCAACATTACAACGGTACATTACCTTAATTAACAGGCAATTGCATAAACTTTGTCAGACTTGGTCAGGGGAAACATGGGGACTCAAAATTGATGTTCTCTGAATTATTCTAAAAAAAATTACCATCAAGGATAAAAAAGGTTTGGGGAAATTAAATGAGATTTTTGGAATTTTTTTTTTTTTAACATAATGAGATTTTTGGTTAGAGCCTGAATAAGTGCGAAAGGCTAACGTCTATAATATCTTTGACTTATGTAGAATAGAAGAAGCATCACTGATGTTGAATTTTTATTTTCTAAATAAACTTTGTTTGATTTTTATTACTTGCATTCCCTGGTACTTTGAGTCATCTTCTTGAATGAATTTTCAATCTGGGCCCTCTAACAGAAATGTAGAAACAGTAAGAGAGATTGGATTTATCACCTACGTGAAAGAGAGAAGCAAACAAAAATATTGTGGACGCCTCTTTGCATGGCTTGAATTTCATGTTGAATAAATCAATTTATTTACCGTGTTGGGAGAAAATGGGTTTATGTCTTTGATGAACTGTTCTCCTTTCTATCCTAGAAAGCAGAAACCGTTCTATATATAATTTTACAACCGCAATTTCTAGTACATGAAGCTAACCTTACACAAGTCAATTTGATTGAGATGAAATAAGCCAAGACCATATAAAATGTTACACTGAACCAGTATATGTAAGAAATTTTGGTTACAAGAAGGAAACCAATATCAAATTGTACACTATCAAATCGTAATAGAAGGAAACCAGTACACGAATCAAATTACACACTGAATTTCCGTGCCTGGACGTAGTTTTGCTTACAAGAGAGAACTGGTATCAAATACCAGTACATATACATCTAATAAGCGAGTTCTGGCATTATTCTGAATTGTGTTGGCAATAGGAATCTAATTGTACCTTTGAAACTCAAAAACTATCGAGGATATAGCTCTGTAATTGAAACATCATTGTTTGTTAGGGTGAGTGATTCTTCCTTTGATTTCTTCGAGTCCGATACCGACGAATTGTAGCCATATGAGGATGACATGTCTGATTCCATGGTGCTGTGCATAAAAAATGCAGGTCGGGAGGGGACTTTGAGACTGGTTGAATTACTACTAAGCATGAGAAGTACTGAAGCCATGGTTGGCCTGTCAGAAACATTTTCTTGAACGCATAACAAACCAATATGGATGCATCTCATCATTTCAGCCGTGGAACCATTCCTCAAAGTTGGATCTATGAGATTTAATCCAGTCCTTTCCCTCCAGCTTTTCCATGCCTGCAAAAAGTTACAAATGCACATGCACATGAGGCATCAATATGTGATCCAGTTAAGAACGAACTTTTACTCTGCCCAAGAGAGAAATATAACTTTAGATTTTCATACTTACATAACTTAGTAGGTCCTCTATGTTCTCCCCATTTTGAAAACAACTGTTTTTTTGACCACTGATAATTTCCAAAAGTAACACACCAAAACTGAAAACATCTGACTTTATTGAGAACTGCCCATGCATTGCATACTCTGGAGCCATATATCCACTGCAATTATATCAATGACAAAGGAATCATTTTCAGGATAAAAAATGATAAACTCATGTTATAATATTTTCTTAATGCAATGCAAAAGAAAGCTATTCTTGGAACTTTCACGCTGTCAAAGGAGCAGAGCTAATTGGCTATTTATTTGTATGAGAACCAATATAAAGTTTTACTATTTTTAATACTTACTAAGTTCCCACAATCCTACTGGTATTGCCTTGTGTTTCATCTCTTACAAATAACCTTGCCATGCCAAAATCTGCAATTTTAGGATTCATAACTTCATCCAACAAAATGTTACTTGCTTTGAGATCGCGATGAATTATTCGAAGACGAGAATCCTCATGCAAGTAAAGGAGGCCACGGGCTACGCCTCCAATGATTTTGTAACGGGTTTCCCAATCCAGTTGTGCACGCTTGACTGGATCTATATGTTCATAGTTCATGTGAGCATATATGTCACTAACCCAACAAAAAAAAAAGAAAAAAGGACCAACAACTAGAATATAATTTTAAAGAAGTTGAGGGCTTTGCAGATGACCAACCCCTTCAAAGAAGCAAACTCAAATGTAAATATTTATAAAAAGAATAGAAATATGAATCAAGAGCAAAATCTAAAAGGCACATACCAAAAATGAAATGATCAAGGCTTGTGTTTGGCACAAATTCATAGATGAGAAGCCTTTCATCTCCTTCCAAGCAGAAACCATGGAGTCTGACCAAATTACGATGTTGAAGTTTGGCCACTAAGAGGACCTCATTCTTAAATTCTAGGTTTCCTTGTCTAGAACCACTAGATAGCCTTTTAACTGCCACTTCTTGTCCATTTGGAAGCTTGCCCTGTACATAAAACAGAGTGGACTAACTAAATTTAAGTTCAATGAAAACCAAATTCCAAGCTAATTCAATACACCCAGATGTGCAATAAGTAATGTTCTTTTCTGATTCACAACATCATTACCTTGTAAACCACTCCAAATCCTCCTTGTCCAAGTTTATTTTCATCACAGAAGTTATTAGTTGCGGCTCTAACAGTGGCTAACTCAAATTGCAAAGACTCAGCCTTGATCATTTCATCTGCTTCAGCAGCTGCCAAAAGCAATACATGAGATAGGAGTAAAGTTAATGACATTCTCCAGCAGGAGAAGTGCATTTCAAAAAAATAGTAGTAGTGCATTTCAAAAAAATAGTAGTAGTACTTACTTTCAACAATTTTCCTTTGCTTTCTGAGTTTTAAACAGATCCAAATACAGAGGACAAGAGACAGAATGCCGACAACCGAAGCAACTATGCCAATGATGATTGCTCGAGTTGTATTGCTCTTATTTCCATTTCCATTTTCATTTCCTGCACAACCCAAAAGTTTCCACGCACAGCTTGAATATCTATAATATAATTATCAAAGGCATGATCAAGAAAAGGTTTTTTTATGTTTGTGCAAAGAATAGGTATTTAACGTTAGAGGCAAGCACAACTAACTTTACTGCTAGATTACGTGATTAATTGTGGCAACAGCAATTCATGTTCTTCCATTCTAAAGGAATCTCTCTTCCAATGTCAAAAAAGCAATCTAGTCGGGGCCTTACTGTAAACTCATTATAAGAGGTCCAGGTTGCAGTTGGAAGGAAAGAAGTGATGCGATCCCTGAAATTGATAATGTTACACTTTGTTGGATTGGGGAAGTTGGAGGGGAAGGGAAGGAGAGTGAGGGAAGAGAACATCTTTAATTGTTTAGATTAATAATTTTAATAGAAAGGAAAAAAAAGAAAAAAAGAAAGAGACCCCCCCCTACACTTAAACCACTTAAAATATAAAAAAAGAAAAAGAAAATACACATATTTGCGTTTAAAATTTTTAAAAAAAAATATATATACATTAACAATTATTTATTTAATTAATAAATATTAAAAAAAAAATTCCTTTTAATTTAATTTTTAAAAAATATAAAAAAAAAAAAAAAATATATTTTCCTCTCTCCTACACTTCTCTACATCAAAAAAAAAAAAATACAAACCTTCCCCCCTATACACACCTCCCCCTTAACTTCAACCCCCGTCTTTCTTTTCTTCTACAAATTTTCATCTAAATAGACTATTATTTAAATAATACTTACAATCATAACATTTTGAGAAACAAATTATGTAAGATATACACTGAGTTTGGGGCATAAAATATACTTTTTATTTTTACCGGTGAAAATAAAATATACATTTACCCGAAGAGGAAAGGAGAGAACTTTACCTTCTGGTGGAGGAGCTGAAGGCGGTGGTGGTGATGGCGGAGGAATGTCGTCTACGGCTGTAAAAAATGGCTCGGTCTCATATCTCAAATTACAGCTCGGTTGCAGAACCCTGCATCCGACCTTCCCGTAGCAGTAAGAATAGATCCTTTCCGTTGCCGTTGTCAAACAATCGCTGCAATTTTGCACGGACAGATCTGGAGTGCACTGCATGATTGCGTAAATTCTCAAAAAGAAACCCGGACCCGTCACGTTATCCCCCGCAAACTTGCGAAGAGAGCCTCCGGCAGCCGCACGGCTGCTCAAGTTAGTCAACAAAGAGCTCAATGCCTGATTGAACCCATTAACATCTGAAGCGTTGTTAACATTATACAGTATACGGAAAGGACTGGATTCCATGGATTCGAAGAGTTGTTGACTTGAGTAGTGTAACGTACAGAATTCCGACCACCCGATCGCCTCTTTGTAGTTGGGACATAGCATCTCGAGCTCGGAGACGGTCTCGTTCAGGCAACTTCTGCAAACGTCCTCTTTCTGGTCTCCCCTGCATAGTCCGATTGCGTTGACCTGGTCAGGGCTCCGACCAACAGACATATTGTAGAACCCATAATCGAAATCCGCCGTGGAGGTTAGCTGGGAAAACAGACGGTTGACGTTGGTCCCATAAGTACTGTTGGCGGTGAAGTTGCCATTGTTAACACAAGCAGATTGGAAGTAAGGATCGGCAGCAGAAATGAGATTTATAAGAAAAACAGCCGAAACTAAGATCAGAAGCAGTATTGAAGATCCCATTTGCCTTCCTCCAAGACCTTCAAACTGCTTGCATTTGGGAAAGTGATACTGATGGATGATGAAGTTCCCATTAATTTATTTATTTCTATGAATGGGTAGAGATGAAACCGCGTGAACTTCAAAGTCCCATGCACCCCAACCGTCGCCATAAGTTCACCATTTGCGCCTCTGAGTATGCATTCATTCATGGTCAATGGTAAGACTTCTCTTTTCTTGTTCTTTTGTTAAAAAATCTTCTTTGTAGAGACTCGACAATTATTGAGTGTACCTACTCCATCTTCCTCTAAAACCAATAAAAAACTACTGAATCTTGTCCGGAAGTAAAAGGGCGTGCTTAGTCACACTATATAAAATGTTCAGCCTATTAATTTTTAGTTTTTTTAAATAATATTTAACAATATTAATTGCACCTAATCTTTCATACCAACTAACATTTTATCAGTTTGAGATGGATTTTTTTTGTTTGAGGTGCATTTTTTTTTCAAATCCGTCCTTGATAACTTGTTAAAAAAAAAATAATAATATTAATTAATTAATTTTAATTTATTAATTAATAAATATAAATTATTTTATCAATTAGTTACAATTATTAACTTCTAAAAGTTGAAAATAAATTTAATGTAATATTTTTTAATAATATATATTATAAATTGAGTGAAAATTGCACCTGGCTTTTGGGCCTAGTGACAATTGCCACGATGAAGGTGCATCCCCTCCCCTGGATGGGTTCGACCCATCCCATGACCAATTGTTCAAAAAAAAAAAAAAAATAAATAAATTGAGTGAAAATTAAAAATGGATCAATTACTGTTTGTGTAACATTAATGATAAATAAACTTAATTTTTTACATAAATTAAAAAAATTTATAAAATATAATATATATTTATCTATTTAAATTCATACAGAAATACAATAAATTAATAAGTGAAGATAAATTTGACATAATTTAAGAAAATATATTAAATAAGATAAAAAATTTTATTGTCATATAAGTAGTAAACATTTTTAAAGTATAATTATTTGAAATTTTTATTGATTAATTATGATGAAATTAGATGTTTTAAACGTCATATCTTAATCATCTTTATTTTAATTATTATTTTTTAATTATTTTTAATTAAAAACTCTTTCTTTTT